TTCATCTCAAGCACACTAGATTACAAAATTTGTGTGCTTTCAACTAAGCTGTCAACATCACTCAGTGGTTAAATATACAGCTCTGGAGCAGGGAACAACCTTTCTACCTTTTCCTAGAAATTTTGCTGAGACTAGAAAGGGTCACACTAATACCCAAGGGTTTCCAGGTTTCAATCTTGGATGTCTAAACACATACTCGTGGACCAGGTAACAGAGGTCCAAGGAACAGATTATCTACCAAAAAGAAGGAAAAGTTCTAATGGCAACCAGCCTACCTGGGATTCTGAACACCCCTGTCTCTCACTGATTTCTGCAACAGACACAGACCCCTAAATTCTTCTGTGTCCTGCTCTCTCTCTCTCTTTTTCCCTCTTGCTTGCTGGGGAAGGGGAGCCATTCATTCACTCATTGTTACTTTATATGTTTAAAAAAAAAAAAAAACCTCACAGCCATCGAGTCGATTCCAACTCATAGCAACACGTCCTTGGGTTTCCGAGGCGGTAAGTCTTTACAGGAGTAGATTGCCCAGTCTTCCTTTTGCGGAGAAGCTGGAGGGCTTGAACCACCAACTTCTAGTTAGCAGTCAAACGTCTTAGGCACCACGCCACCAGAGCTCCTTTCGTTACTTTATAGAGGTTGTAATTCAGTTGCATGGTTTCTTTCTTTGCTTACTTGCTTTTTAAAAGCATTAACTATCTTCTATGCATAGCTGGAGTGCAGACAGATGCACAGTTGGAATACAGACAGATTAAGAGAGACTCCTACTAGAGGAAACACCCTTATCTTCACGGTTCACTAGAATTCAGGAACAGGTATATGGCTCATCCAGGGCCTTTCCTACTAACCAGAAGTATGGTGGCAAAAGTTTCATTTGTGAAACTTAACACCTAGCTTACAGGGGAAAAGATGAGGAAACCAATGTATAATCCATCAATGTGTGTATATCATAAGGACAGTATACATAAATGTTTCCAAGTCCAATGAGAAAAAACCTACACTTACTAGAATTAAATTAGAATAAAGAAAACAAAAATCCTTACAACTGGACCAATAAGGAATATCACAGTAGAAAAAAAGACTGATGTTTTAAGGGATTTCATTTTACTTGGATCCGCAATCAACACCCACAGAAGCAGCAGTCAAAAAATCAGATGACACACTGCACTGGGCAAATCTGCTGCAAAAGACCTCTTTTTTCTTTCTTTTTTTTTTTTTTTTTT